TTTCAGCTAAACTGTAAAATAGGTGATGTTGGGAGGTTTGCTTGTTTAGCTTGACTGGCAAGAAATGATTGTTTACTAGACCCATTCAATTCAAACTCTGACTGCATGACCACAGCTGTGCTCTGCTGTAGGAGACAGGGTGAGAAAGTGAGGTGTCTGGGGAGCAACATTTATGGAAGGTCCACGCTCAGGCTTACCTTGCACCTGTGATGCCCTGTGCTTCATCCCTGCCCAAAGCTAATACAGATTCTGTACTGACTGAGCAGGCAATGCCCACAGATGGGTTAAAACTGGCATTGTAGCAACTTGGGGTACATGATGGCTCCTTAATTCTATAGGCATGGTGGCCCTTTCACCAGGTAGTCTCTTGGTTTCTTTTGTCTGAAATGACCTTCCTCACCTTGTTAATGTGGGAAATGCTCCTCACCCTTCCTCTCAGCTTTGCCTTACAGAATCTATGGGCATTTATATTTTAAAGGAGAATGACAGTTAGTACAAATGAATCTCTGTTGTGTGGGACTCCAAGGAGGTTTGCAAGCAGGAAGCTAGTATTTTAGCCCATATGGGGCAGATATCTGGCAAAGCCTGGATACAAAGGTCCAAGAAAGAACCAGGCACTTGGGTGGAATTTGCTTTACAAATCAGCAGAAACACCTCCAATTGCCAAAAGAAACTAATTATTGCTGTATGCTTTAAACAACAATCATGAAGGTATGAGGATATTAATTGCAGCATTGTTTATAGACGAAAATAGGAAATGAGCAAAATGTCCAAAAAGAGGATGCCTTAGAATTCCAGGTGCTTTAATAGCATGGAATTAAACGTACTTAGAGAAGGCAACCTTACATAATCCAACTTGAAAAGATGTTGAAGATATGTTTTTGAATGAAAAGTGGGGGGGGGGAAACAATATACCTAGTAGGACATCACATATAAAAACAACCTCCCCAATTAATTTCATATATTTTTCCTTGGCATAATTATCCACTGGCAAATGAAAAGTGTGTGATATCACACATGGCAATCAGATCACAATTGTGTGGAAAAGGGGGCAGGATTGGAGTGATGATCTAAATGGACTTTTTAAACATAGAACCTGTGTATACATTTCTTTTGTAATTAAATATTTTCAATGAAAAGCTAAGTGCTTAATGACAGCACTGTAGCGACTATAACATTAAATACTGAACCTGTGTTTAGATGCCAATGAATCAACACACAGCCAAGTGACATCTCAGGTGAGGGGCTGGAGTGACAGTATGAAAGGCAGAAAATTCCTTTCCAATTTCATCCACATTTTACCTCTTGCCAATTCTTGCAAAATGCAGTATGTTTAGACAACACACTGACCACTGAGGTTACTACTGTCTCTCTCTCTCTCTCTCTCTCTCTCTCTCTCTCTCTCTCTCACACACACACACACACACACACACACACACACACACACACACATCCTCCTCCATCCCAGCCACACACACACACACACTAGCCCATTGAGCCCTCTGTGGGTGGTCACTCCACCTGTGAGCATCTTACTCTTAACAGCAGGGATTTATAAGACCTGCTGATGGCTGGTATTTATCACATGCTCTCTTTACACAAGCTCACTCACTGAGACTGGTGCCTTTTTGCACAATGTTTGCCTGGAATAGATGAAGGCAGTAGATGAGGTAACTTAAAAATCCTTTAGGATCAGATGCTATCATGTAAAACCCACTGACATGAACCAACCTCTGAGAGTGAAGGCCGAGCCCTGGGAGTAAAGCTTGTCATTCTGTGCTTAATAAACATAACTGCATTGATGAAAACTAATGCACTTGGACGCTGATCACTGAATCACACTTTTAAATTTAATTTTATAGGGAATAGATGAACAATGCCATTGAATAATTTATGCATCTGTGACATTTCATTTTACATATGGTAAGTCAGAATTTATTTGGATTTCAAATACTGATTTGCCTAAGGATTGGTGAAACCTATTTAGAGGTAGCTTTAAAATATGTGTGTGTGTGTGTGTGTGTGTGTGTGTGTGTGTGTGTGTGTTCATTCTGCCTATTGAGTAGCATCTGGAACAATTTAGAATCCTCTATACTTCAGCCTCTTCTCATCAATACCAGAGAGAGAGTAACATAACTTCCTTGACTGATTGAAGTAGTGAAAAGAAATCGATTCTGAAATTAGCTGTAGGGGTTTCCGATGCCCTTCACAAGGTCTAAACATGCCGGTACATACAAGCAATATAAGTTTAAAGTATGTGTTTAATGTTATAAACTTAGTTATAACATTAAGTTTATCTATTCCATCAGCCCTTTTCAAGTGTTCCCTGTTAGGTCCGAGAAAGCCCAGGATCAGATACATACAGACATGGGATGAGACAATGGACTTCCTCTGGAATTTCTCACAGATCTGGAATTTCTCACAGGTCAACGTGCCAGACACAGATACCTGCTTCTCCCTGAATTCACAGCGATCCCCACACAGATACTGACCCATTCCTGAATGTGCCGCCCACCCCCTGCGGCTGAGACTCCATCAGTTGAATGTGTGATGATCCCTGCTGCGGACACTTCCTCAGTTCAGGCCCCCGCCCTCACCAAACACCTGAATAAAGAGATGTCCCTCCCTCCCTGGAGGCGCGAAATTCACTGGCCCCACCTTTTGGGCCAGGGGGTCTCGCCCGAGAACGCAAATAAACTTCTCCTTTTTCTTTCTGATTCACTCGATTCTCTTTGTTTTCCTCGCCGCCGCTTTTCTGGGCCACCTAACATTTCCCAAGCTTTAGATGCTGATGATCTCACTGACCCATTGCTGAGAAAATGATATTTGTATTTTTCTTAGATTTTGTGTCATGGATCAAAGAAATCACAATTTATTCCTTCATTCAAAGGTTCTAGGAATCCATGACATCAGAGAAAATTATATTTGAGGTATTCATCCATGTTTTTTCCCTTCCTGTTGAAGAGCAGTATATATTATTTTGGAAATATTTTTAAATTACATATAAAAATATAAAATTTTCAACTAAAGGTACATGCATAAGAGAAAACCCGCAAGTCCCCACTCCTGTATGTAGCTGGCATGAGAAGTGAGGAGTTGTCAAGTAGAACTGGCCTGCTGGTAAGATGCCTACACCTTACTCTCTCCTCCCTCCCATTTCCTCTCCCTCCCTTCTTCCCTTTCCCTCTTTTTAGTTTTTTAATGTCAAATTTTAAAATATGCACAAATGATAGAATATAGTATAATAAATCCCCATGTCTCTATTAACATCTTCAAATATTACCAGTATCTTTTCCTTTTTAACAATTTATAGGAAATCTCACACATTATGTATCTGTAAAAGATAAGGTAGATTTATTTATTTATTTTGGCCTAACCAAAATACAATCATCATAGCTAAATACATAACTATAACATATTGTTAATATAACATCATAAATATAAATATTTAGATTTAGATATAACCTGTGATGGTTAATTTCATTTGTCAACTGGAATAGGCCACGGGGTGCCCAGATATTTGGTCAAACATTATTCTAGGTGTTTCTGCCAAGGTGGTTTTGAGTGAGATTCACATGTAAATCAGTACATTGCATAAAGCAGACTGCCTTCTCCAATGTGGGTGGGCCTCATCCAATCTATTGAAGGTCTGAAGGGAACAAAGAAGCTGACCCTCCCCTAAGTAAGAAAGAATTCTTCCTTTCTGGTATCCTTCCCCTAAACATCAGCGCTTTTCCTGCCTTCACACTCAGATGAAAGCAGCGGTCTTCCTGGGTTTCAAGTCTGCTGGCCTTCAGTTAAAGTACACAGTCAGCTCTCCTGGTTCTCTTGCTTTCCGACTAGGACTGCAAGCATACATCAGTTATCCAACGTGCCATGCACCCTGCAAATCTTGGGATTTGGACTGGCCCACCTCCATAAATATGTGATCCAATCCCTCATAAAAATAAATTCTCTATCCTTTTAGCTAGCTAGCTAGGTAGCTATCCTATATAATAAAAGCCTAATATGCAAATCGACTGAACTGTGGAACGACTGGTTGCTATGATGTGCACTGACCACCAGGGGGCAGACGCTCAACGCAGGAGCTGCCTCCAATCTACAGGCCCCAGGCCAGCCAAGGTGGGTGCCAGCGGGAGGGGGCCCCCAATCGCCCCACCAGTCGCCCCACAGATCGACCCTGATTGCCGGCAAGGCCTAGGGACCCTACCCGTGCAGGAATTTCGTGCACTGGGCCTCTAGTCTGATATAAAAACATACCCCTGGAAAACCCTGACTAATACATCACCTAATCACAAGGCCATACTCAAATTCCCCCAAATTGCTAAAATATGTCTTTGTACAGATTGAATTAGCACCCAAATATATCACATGCACTATTTTTAAGTCTATAAACATCAGTTACATTTGTGGAAAAGTCATGGATTATTTTCCCTTTTATGAAATTTCTTAAATAATACTGGATAAACTCCACAACACAGAACATCAAACCCAAAACTTAGAATCTGATTCCAGACTTATAAGGATCCGTGCCAAGAAGGGACACGTGCCAAGAAGGGACACGGAAAAACCCTTTCCTGCTAATATACTCTTGAAAAGTCAATGAACTTCTTTTCTGACTATAGGTCCCACATCTACAATGTAGGAAATGCAGATATAAAATAGTTATTCAGCCTTCCTCACAGGGATGCAGGGTGGGTAAAATGTAGTCTTTATTGAGGAGTTCTGAGATAAAGTATTAAAAAATGAAGCAATTTACATATTATCACCATCATCTTAGAACTTGTTTTACTTCTTTATTTACAACTGGGGTTTTATTCTCAGATGAAATGTGTGGTATTAATGCAAATCTGTGCTTCATTACTAAAATGAACGAAAGCAAATAAATTGTGCTGTAATGAAATAGGCCTGGTTTTTGATCAGAAGTAATTCTGTACCTTTAACACATGCTGAAAAGCAGCAAAGGTGGACCTCTCAAGGTCACTGCTCCAGACACTCACCCAGTACTGTTGAGATAACTCTGTCCCAGGCTGCAATCCTTGGACAGAGAGGATGGATTGAACCAAAACGCTGGCAGGCACTGACCATTGCTGTGTCGCTCATAACCATAGTCACTGTTGGGGAAAGAGCCAAGAGAAGCCTTTCAGTAGGTGGCAAAATTACTGAGAACGATTTCATGTTAGTCCACAGGCAACTTCAACTCCAGTCACTTAGTCAAGAAAGAGGTATTCACTAAATTCCAAAAATGGAATTTTTTTCCAGGGAATATCTATGTTACCCATGAAGATATCCTACAGAAGCCATTTTCAGAAATGCTGACTTGGAGGCAAGGGGGATGCCTGTGTAGAAATGAAGGCTCAATGACCAATAATTCTTTCTAAAGAAATTATTTATATATATATATATATATATATATATATATATATATATATGATATTTAATTGATTTTAGAGAGGGAGGAAGGGAGAATGAAAAGGAGATAGAAACATCTATGAGAGAAAAGAAAAACATTGATGGGCTGCCTCCTGCACGCCCCATACCGGGAATCGAGCTCACAATGCTGGCATGTCCTTGACCAGGAATCAAACTGGGTGACCTCTTGGTGCATGGGTCGATGTTCTACCACTGAGCCACAATGACTGGGCTCAATGCCCAATAATTCTAAGTAAATACCTTGAAGCTGAGAGAGCAGATACAATTTTCATTAGGAGGATACACAATACCAATCGTGGTTGGTCAGAGAAAGCTATAACTAGTGAACAGGCAGTGGAGGAAGCTCCACCCTCGGTGTAAAGTTTCACTGAAGAGTTTAACACAGCAACATGTGGCATGGTGCTCATTCATGTTGATGTCTTTGGGGTGCTCTTCCAAGACATCTGGATCTACTAAGTAGAGGAGCCAGGTCTGTCTGTGTACAAGCCATATGCTTCAAAGTCACAGCAGGAAAGGAAGTGTCCTTCAGGAGTGTCCTGAGAATTTCCCCAAGGAAAAGTTTTGTCCTGGTCCCAACTGGCAGTACTAGCTAAGTAAGAGGATTTAAAAATCCTCTCTCTAGTTGGAATCAGTCAAAGCCCTTTCTCTCAGCCTCCTCTCATTCTTGCCCCCAGTGGCCTCCGAGTGGCCTAACATCCTAGGCTTCTGGAAGATGAACCCAGGCAGAGGCTGATGACAAAATGCACCTCCACATGCACATACAAATTGCAGGCAGCTACCAGCAAGCACTCATATGAACTGGCCCATCTGTGTGATGGAGGTGAGATGCTGGCGCACAGGAGCTGGGAAGGGAGAATAGGCTCAGCTTAAGGGGCCTGTCACCAGGCAGCTGGCACTTAAAATTCTGCACATACCAGCTGGACTTGGTGCTGGTTCAACACAGCATGGGTAGGAAGCCTTCAGAACTGATGCCCACAGGACACCCAGTGTTCATTTCAGATAATTAGTTTACAACTGCTGGAGAATGACAGGCAAGGTCACCCGGGGGACTGTCCAGGGGACAGCCAAGGCAAGAGGGAACATTCAATGACAACCACCTTTCATTATGCTACAATCAAGTGGGATCAATAACGCTCTAGCTACTGGTAGAAACTCCTAAGGTCATGGTAAGCTTTCCAAAATACTTTCAGAAATTATGCCATTACAAAAATCCCCTTTGGACAGAAAACAACACAATGGCCTCATTCACAATTCATTTCCCACTTCTCAGAATACATATCAGTTTGTGCTAAGAGAAGCAGATTCCAATCTCAAATGAATATAAGAATTGGGCCAAGACTGAGGGGTATGAGAGGTGGGGGAGGGGAGAAACCTGATTGCTTTCCTTCCCCTGTGTTTCTTTTACTCTAGACTAGCTTAAATTTGAAAGAGAAAAACAAAAATGACCGTGACAACAAACGTCTAGCTTATTTTGGCACCTCATGAAAAAGATTCCCAAAGGAAGACATATTTCCAGGAGAAATCAGGGAACCGGGACATCTCCCCTCACGTCTTTCCGGTGGTTTTTATGAGAGCATACATTTGTTCCCTGCACAAGAATGGCTGTTTGATAAGGCTAAAATTCAATTGCAAAGGTGAAATGCTCACTTCCTTTACAAATCCCCTTTGAATACAGTGGATGAAGGAGAAGCATTTTGGCTTCAGAAAGAGGGATGGGATGAATGACTTAAAGTTCCCAGGAACATTTTCCCTGTCAAGGTATTTCAGGGTGTCAATCCTGAAAGTAGGAAAGGGATAAAGTATTTTTGTCATTGGAATCATGTTACAATGACTAATACACAAGTCATGGCTGGGGAGGCCCCTGTAGAATTCATTGTGAGCTCCACTGTAATAAGCTCTTCTGCCCTCTGGCTGAGCCCAGAATAGAGCATTGGTTCTTGCCTTACCTGTCTACCCACAAGTGAGGAACAGCCTTTGGTGATCAGTCTGAGTGCTGGCGGCCAATTTTGCCAGGCCTGCCCAGTGCTATTTATTCAGACATCTCCAGAGGTCTCCCATAAGAGCAGACTTACTTTTTCTAAGATCTGTGATGTGTGTGTACATAATACCTCTCAGATATTTTGATGATCAGAGATGTGACCAGTGATTGCTACAGCTTGAAATAAATTCTTAAAGGAATGACTTTGGTTCTCAAGCAGGTCAAGGTTCAGTCAGTTAACACTGACCTACATAATTAGCAATTGCATTTTCTAAACTCAAAACATAGAAAGAAATATCAAAGAAAAGGAAAAAATAAGGGGGGGGGGAGGAGCAGACAAGGAAATGGAAATAATCAATGGAGTTCCCACCCACTCATTCACAATAATTTTTCAACCTCACCTGAATGCTAAACACTGGCCTAGACCAAAGCAAGGGAACTCCTGGCCTCGTGAGCCAGATTTCTGCTTCCCAAATGTTACAGGAGACTCACACTGGCACTCTTTTACTTAACATCTAATCCTCTCAGGACTTTTCCAGTTTAAATGAACCTACGCCCTGTAAATGGAGACTTGCACCTTTAATGCTAGGATCATGGAGCTGTAGACTGGCAATGCCATCAAATTGAGAAATGCCTTCTATGCTCACGTAAGCAAGAGTCAGCTGAACACCGAAAACTTCCAGGGATAGAAAATTTACTGCCTTTTAAGGCCATCTTTTCACCCCCAGGATCCCTAGGTTCTAGAAAGCTTAATCTTGAGCACACATATGTTTGCTCTCTGAAAAGACACTCCTTGTTTCCATTGTTGCCATCTGAAGCAACTCAGGGTGGTTTGTCCCGAGATCTATCACACAGAGGAAAATAATTACCAGCCGTCTTCGGAATCCTCTTTCAGTCTACAGAAATGCCTGGTTCTTCCATATGCACATGTACAAGTACACCATGATGTCTCCAAAGGTAATTTCATAACAATAGGAGGCTCTATCTAGCTAGGTCACTATTATTTCAAATCACAGCTTTCATTAAGGACCCCGTAAAAAAGCACGGGTTGAACATTCTGGCTTAGAGAACCCCAGTTCCTACACTTGAATGACTAGCTTGCCCCCAGTAAACCCCATGGCTTTTGCTCAGTATCCACTCCACAGAGTTCATAAAGACAAACATAACCGCAATAACGACACCAACAGTTATAACAACAGCTAGGATTTGATACACTGAGGGACTCCTTGGGATAAAGGCATCAGCTCACCAGTCGAAATCGGCCTCTGTGCAGACACAGGGTTCAGACTCCATGGCTCCTGCATACTTTCCTTGCATACATTTCCGCTCTGACTTCCGCTTCTTATATATCCTTTTGGCTCCCATGATGCATGCTTCCCCCTGGAAGGAGACAGGGATCTCAGGTACTTGAGCACAACACTGGGATCTTCCCTGTGCCAGGCAGTCCAGGGAGATGTTCTCAAACCTCAGTGTGATCTGGACTGAGGTGGTCTGCTCTGTGCTGATGGCTTTTTTGTTTTGTTTTGCTTTTGTTTTTTTGTTAATCTTCACCTGAGGATATTTTTCCATTGATTTTTAGAGAGAGTGGAAGGGAGAGGGGGAGACAGAGAGAAACATTGATATGAAAGACACACATCAATTGGTTTCCTCCTGCACGAACCCTCACCAGGGCCAGGGAGCCTGCAACCAAGGTACGTGTTCTTGACTGGACTCGAATCCAGGACCTTTCAGTCTGCGGGCCAACACTCTATCCCCTGAGCCAAACCACTAGGGCTGTCAGCTTTTTCTTTTCAGTGTCAGCAGCCCCAGAATAGAATGTGACTAATAAAGTCAGTCTGAAGAAGTATGGAGGGTGTGTCTAAAAGTGTCCTTCACTCCTGGCACATCCAGCAAAGCTCTCCTTGGCAAGGTGTTAGGCGCAGCGCTGTGAGGGGCACATGGATCATGAAGACTCAGCCCCATAAGTGTATTGCCAACGAATCTGGGATAATTCAGTTCAATTCTCCTATTGGAAAAGATGTATGAAAGTAGAGCATTGCCTAAGAAATATAAAGATCCCTTTTGCCCCAATTTATGCTGCTTCTGCCCACGCAGCTTTTTACACTGATTTTATATCCGTCTATCAGACAAGCGAGAAAACTGAATTCAGTGTTTCTCTACAAAATAAAAGCTTTGAACACACAAAGCTCCTGCCTCCCAAAGGGGAAAATATCAGCCATGTATATGAGTGATAATTTTATTTTTGCATCTCTGAGAGGAGTGGGCGAGTCAGCGGATGCATCTGGCACTGCCAAACACAGCTCCCTCTGTACGTCTGAAGGACCGGAGCTCAGCTACTACAACCTGTCTCTCTTAGAAAACTCACTTTAACTGGCTCCACTCCACACATACATGTAAATATATCACAGTCTAGGCTGGGGGCAAATGATATGTTATTGCCTGAATATGGCGATGGTTTTGCAATGGACCATCCTTTCAGGGCCCTGGATGCCGTCTGGCTTGGGAACTCAAAGGAGAGAGGCTTTCAGACAAGCATTCTGATATGAGCTAAATAGCTGAGGGGCCAGGACGAAGGAAAGGTTCCTATTAACAATTCTGCATTCTTGCACCACGAGTACCCTGGAAGAGGCGAGAATCAGTACCTGATCTCAGGGAGTCACAGGAGTGGGGAGGAAGGACTCTCCTGGCATTGCTCACAGAGCATAAGCTTGTTATTTTATGTCTCTTGTTTGCTTTGCTAGATCAAATTCAAGACCCTTTGCTCACCCCTGCCTCCACCCTGCATCCATATGACATGCTCAGATGAATTAGGTTTAGATGCCCGTGCGGAGTTGGTATTTCATTTTGAGTTGTAAGTCTAAGCCAAGCACATTTGAATTTTATCTCATTATATCCCAGTACAATAAAGACAGAAATTACTTCACAACAAGCTATAAAGTGTAGGGTTTGTTCACTGCTGTGGAACACAAAACACGTAAGAAAGCACAAGAGGAGCATTCTGGCTTAGGGAACCCCAATTCCTCTACTTGAATGACCAGCTTGCCCCAATACTCCCCATGCCTTTCGCTCAGCATCTACCCTCTGCTCTCTCCCTCCTACCTGGCTGTGCAGCTGCCAAGGTCTGTAGTCCTCCTCGGCACACCTTCTATCGAAAATGGACTTGTAGTCCACTTTGACCAGCTGCCATTCAGAGCGGTGGCTGAAGTGTCCGAACACTCTACAGAGTTCATAAAGATAAAGATAATTGCAATAATAAAAATGCCAGTAGTTATAACAACAGCTAGCATTTGCCCAGTGTCTATTATGAACTTAGCAAAATGCTAGTAAGTACATTGCATTGATCATACCACTTAATCCTCAAAACGCATTTATAAAGGGGGTGACTATTATTGGCTCCATTTCACCTATGGGTAACATGAGGCTCAAAGAGTTGTGTTCATTTGTAAAAACCAATGTCAAATCACTAAAGAACTAGTAGATCAGGACGTAGAGTGTGTAGCGTAAAAGATCACTTCTATATATCGTACCAGAGAATGGTTAACAAAAAAATCAATCAATCAACCAACCAACCAATAATGGAGAAAACAATCACAGATACTGCTCTCTACATGGTCTGAGATTGCACTTCTAGGCTGTCTTGCTAATGTACTTGATTTTCATGCTATTTAGTTTCCCACCAGTCGCTAGGGAAAGTGGGTGCAAGGCCAGGTGCTTACAACTGCTTCCTACACTGTGCATTCTACTCTGCTTACTGAAAAGACACAGGAATTTAATGAGGTGTTTGAATCACTAATCGCAGATAAGGATAAAAACCACAAAGCAGCCTTTTTGGTCAGCATCTTTTATCTGTTTTGCAAATATAAAAATTAAATGAAGACAAATTATGGAATACATTGCTAATCTAGCCATGTTTACCATGGCCAAAAGTGTAGCTATTAGGCATATTAAATATTGATTGATTTATTTTCTATCATTAAAAAAAACAAAAAGAAAAGGGGACAGAAAATTTAGAAAATATACCAACTCATCGCTTTGATTTTGACATTGTCATGTCCGACACGATCAACTACTTTAAAACCTTCCCTCTGTTTCCTATGTCCAATTTTCTAGGGAAAGGAAAAGGCGCAGTTTCATATTTTAAATTCAAAGCCAATGTTTTGAACCCCACAGGCAGGCAAGTCATTAATCAAGTCTTTCACAAATTAATGATCATCTCTTTCCAGACAAGAATGAGTGCAAATGCAATTTCCCAAGAACAGATTGTTCTCAGGGTTTCCCTAATATGCCTCACAATTGGGTTAGGTAAAGAGCCAGGGAAAAAGACAAGCCTGCATGGGGTTTTGCTCAAGCTCTGAGTTCTGCCTTAAAGTGAAACCATTCCTTATATGCCCATGTCTTTCTATATATTGAATTTGTTTATTATTAAAGTCTTAAATGCATAGCTTTCTTTTCTACTGCAATGATCTCTTCTAATTCCCCTCAGCCCATGCAGGAGGGGAAGAAATGAGCTAGTTTGCCACCCACCCTCAGTGTGAGACTCCCCATAATTAGTAAAAGCCAGGAAACTGGTGCCCGTACTTTTCTTTACTCTTTACGGGGGAATCATGAAATCACATGTACGGACTTTGCCGGCAACTCCAAACCTAACAGCAGCAAAGCGAACAAACAGCTAAAAAACACGTTTCTGGATGAATATCAAGACGTGTTCCACTTACGTCATGATTAGAGTCTCTTCCCCAGGCTCACCCAGAACCCCATCCACAAAAAGGGGAATAGATGTGAAACTGTATTTGCTCCAAGATCTCCCTTCATCAAAACTCAACCTAATGACAGAAGAAAAAAAAACAACAATTACAGTCCTCAGATCTCCAAAGGAAAAATAAAAATCCTTTCTAAAGAAAGATACTACTAACCAGGAGAGAATCCATTTGAAAAGTGCCTAAGGCATTGTCAAAGTGAGCCTTGAATAAGTGTCCTTAATTACACGAGAAGGTAGAAATACAGTTAGCCCAGCGATTTGGGACCCGAGTGTATTATTACATTAACAAGGGGAGAGCTGCATGAAATGAGAATAATAATGAGTCTTTGATAGAATCCGTTTTTAAATTTGGATATTTTATTAGATCTTAGATCTCAATGTGACTCTCTCCAAAACCTCAGGATACTTTAGTAGCCAGCCTTTCAGGTGATTCTGAAGAGCAATGGCCATAGGGGACCTATTTAGATGGACTTGAGCCAGCCGCCTCCAAGCGATCAGAGCTTTACAGAATCTCTCTTACATCGTTATAAATCCTGGTTGACTCACTGAGTGAATGAATGGGGGCAGAAGGACAGACTCTTGATAGCAAGAGGAGAGAAGTCTGCAACTCTGAGGGCCACGCAGGATGTTTCTTTTGCTCTGCCCTTCCCTATGGATGCCTCCCACCAGGCTAAGCTTCTGTTTCTCTCATTTCTGCAGCTTTCCCTTCGGTCGCCAGAGTAGCTACCAGAGGAGGGAAAATCAGGCTTTTGACTTGGAACAAGCTCGCATGTGGAGAGAGTCACTTTCAAAAACACACATGAAGGGGTCTGTGGGAAACCCCTCTGGAAGTTAGGACTTGCACATCCATCTGCAGAAGACCTACAGCTAGAGTTGCAGAATGTCACCCCCAAACGGGAAACTAAGGAAGTACAATCCGCAACAGTATCCTGATCTCTGTGCAGAACACACATACTAGTAATGAGGAGGCATTATTTGGGAAAGGAGTGAAGCTACTCAGAGATTATACCTGGCGCAGCACTCTACCCACAATTGTGCTAAAAGGATAAGGCACTGGGGAGGGTATTGTCACATTTAAAAACTATAATGTAATTCCTCTCTCAGGGGCAGAGCTCATCCTCCTTCCCTCCTTTCTTCCCTCCCTCCCTCCCTCCCTCCCTCCCACCCTCCCTCCCTTCCTCCCTCCCTCCTCCCCTCCCTATGTCCTTTCCTTCTCCAACAGGCCATGATCTTATTTTAAAAGAGCAAAGGTGTAAATTATGTTCTAGTAGACCTTGACATTTTACAACAAACATGATCACAGTCTGATAGCCGGACTCCTAGCCTTCAGAGTGAGGGACCGCAAGGAGTATGACTCATGGGCAACAGGTGCCTTTACCAGAGATGTCGAATTGGAAGAGACGTGTGCTTCATGGCAACTAAGACTCCACCTTGATCCAGATACAGGACACTGTGCTCTTCTTCAAAGATCTGAAAGAGGAAACCACATCCACATGGACACACATCCATGTCCACACACATCCAGAGTTCCGATAATTCGTCTTCACATGAGGAGAAAAAATAATCCCTCTCCTGATTTAACAAGGTTTCCCCAAATCTTTGGGAAGACACAATAATGAACATTGCTTCACAAGATGGGCTACATGTACCCCTGGAGTTACACAGAATTGTTTTAGGTGCACCACAAAACAAATGTAAAGAATAGTTATGTATTGATGTTTATATTCTGATCTTATTTTGTGGCATGTTCTATTGATTCCCATTGATAATCATGTCAGAATATTGGATAACTCATATTGGGTAACATTCTAAGGTAGAAGAAACCTTAGAGATACTTTAATCTCACATTCTCATGCTTATATACGAGGCCACTAAGGTTGAGAGAGATGTCGAAACTTGCCTACGAGCATGTATGTAGTGACTGATGGAGCTGGAGCTTGCAGCATTACAGTGACCTTCCAGATACAGTTCTTTCAAACTTTCCAAGTATTCTAGAAAAAAGGTGTTCTTGTTCAATTAATAGGTTCTCTGCCAAGTTATAAAGTAGCTCTGATGAAAATGGAATCATCATATTTGGGTACATGTGCCATTGGATCTTTTTCTAAACGCGGAGAAACCAATGTGAAGTCAAATGGAAATACGGTGAAAACAATTTCTAAGTCCTCTCTATATAAGATGCATGCTGGCTTCTGACAGTCACACTGTTAGTATAGCTCTGTCTGTGGTTACACTATAGACATAATATTCTTCCCCTTTACTTCTTTTTTGAAATTTTTAAAATGTTTATTGAATTCATTGGGGTGACACTGGTTAATAAAATTATATAGGTTTCAAATGTACAATTCCATAATAGATCATCTGCATTGTATTGTATGTTCACCACCCCAAGTCAAGTCTCCTTTATTTACTTCTTACGCCCATATGAAGGTATATCCTATCCAAGGACCATAGAAGTAGAGACTTATTTTGCTTTGTTTGGGGTGTTGGAAGGAAAAAAAAGGGATCCTGGCTCTCTAACTATTCTCCAAAGGAAAATTAACCGTGCTCATTGCCTCTAAGATCAAGAGCCCTGAGGTTTTTAGGCAAATTTCTTTCTTGCCCTGCCCTTCTCACAACATGTGAATCCCACTGAGGACTTATTAGAAGCCTGGAATTAGGAAATAGCAATTGGGCCATAGCATGGAGATCTCTGACTAAAATATAAAGCAGAGTTGTTCTCATTGCTCTGTGATTACCTGTGCATTAAATTTCAATTTACGGTGCTAGTTATTGTATGATAATTAAATGTCAGTGGGTTATTAAAACATATTTATTGAAGGGTAACAACCATGCATTAGGCACATATCTTGTTATGATTGCAAAAGCTCATTAAATGCCTGTTTTATAAGCTATGGTATCTAATTTTCATTCAGAAGAAAGAGAGGAAGCATTTAAGCTAAACACATTGGTTTAAAGTGATTCCATTTCTACTTTCCCTAGCATATGCACGGTGATGGTTATTACTCTGTCTTTTGCTCATGAGATTTAAACATCTCAGAACACCACCTGGGTAATTGCTATTTCTATATCACTGGATTGCTCTCTATTCTGACTTCTAGGCATGGGGAATTTATGAAGATAACCTAGCATTAGTTATATAATCTACCTTCTAGGCGCCATGTTCCCTATATGATAAACTTTAGGGTTCTGGTTTTCTTTTATGGGAAAAATTCAGTCAGATCTAATTTGGTTTCACTGTCCCTTATAAACTTTCTTCTATAAAGTCTCTGCAAATGGGTCATTTTTATTGAATGGCAAGAAAAAAATCAAATTGCAAAAAGATTCACTAACCTCAAAGACTTAAGACTAAATAAATGCATTGGCAAGCTGTAGGATTTATAGGTATTTAAATAAGTTATTATGTGTAGGAGAATAAGTTCCCAGAATTGAATCGAGTTGAGCAAATTTAATGTCAGTTAGACTTCAGCAATGTGACCCAGCACGCTTTCTTACCTGCCTCCAAGTGTTCCCTGCATCTGAAGAGACAAACATGCTGATGTCGCTGTCTGACAATTCAGAACCTATGTTACCTAGAAAGAGCACAGAGCCATGAGTGGACGGAACTTTCTGCACAAGCTAACAACGAGCCACATGGGCAGTCTGCTTCACCTGAGATGGACTGAGATTGCAAACATATCTGAGCAGCGTTTTTCAGCATACTTGATTCAGGGTCAATAGTTTAGGTGCAATTCAAAAAATATCTTTAGCTTGCTCATGAAGTTCCTAGCAGAGATATCTAGCTTCTTAAAATAAACACAATTTACAGCAACAAGCAAACCAGGTGAGCTTCTTACCTGACGCCACTATGATGCTGGGAGCTGTCTCTCGGCTGGCAATGATCCCTGATGTGTAGGGATTCTCAGAGACCTTAAGGTGAAGGTGTAGTGAGCAGTAAGGCTGAGAAGAGGAAAAATGAGTGTCATGAAAGCACACAATCTAAATAGTCACTTCAATCTCATGTTCAGAGCATCTATCCAATCATCCAACCATCCCATCTATGCATCCATTCATGTACCCTTTCATTCACCTGTTTTCATTCCACAAATACCTAGTGTCCACTAAGCATAAGATAGCTGCCAAGCTGGTGAGGGAAGGCCTCTTCATTTTAAATTGAACTGACTGCCTTCATTGCCATTTGAGCATTTACCAAAACATTTGAGCATTTTATCTGTAAAAGGCTAGGTATAGCTTATGAAAGAGTTACATTGACTTAAATTTGGTCTTGACTATCATGAAGTGTAGATTTTAAGATCTTTTGATTGGTTAACATAAATAGAAAATATTTTAATACCTTAAGATCAGTACAGATAGAATATGAGATTCTACAGGGTGACAAAATGATGTCCAACTTTTGACCAGGAAGATTTCGAGGAGAAAATGGTGCCTTGGGCAAAGATGGGTAGGTTAGAAATGGGTAGGTAGGTAAGATGTTCAGAATGAAGGACATTTCAGCCCTGAGTAACACCAACCACAAAGAAAAACACACAGAAGATTTGAGTTACAATACAGTATATAGTCATACTAAAGAGGAGAAATAGGACATGACCTCAGGAAAAAAGGTTTGGTGAGGCTGGGAGAGCTGTTAAGAAGTCAGCCGGCATCTCTTAGCCACTCTCCATGTGAGAACTTGGTCTCAGTTGTACAAAAGAAACTGTATGATGTGTGAGACTATCCTAACGTCCGACAGACCATCAACAGGGTATTATCAGAATCAGTATTATTCAATAGGAACGTCATCCTTGTAGGCAAAATGTACAATAACAGCAATTTCAATGAAAATTTAAGAGACTTATTTGTGTCTGAAAATCTCGATCAAATTTTCTGATTAATATATCACCGGTTTTGATAATAAATCTTATACAAGTTTCATTTGGAACAGTTCTTGTACTGAGTTGTCAAAAACTAAGAATTTGTGTCTGAATCCACACTTCTTTTCATCGCTGAGGAAGATTACTTTCTAATCTTATCCACTCGAGTTTTTGGAATCACCAATGTATCTCTGTTATTACTTTGATTCTGCTCTCTAAGTCGCAACCAGCAGATACTCAGAGAGCTGGAGAGGCAGTGATTAAATTTATATCAGATAGGGTAAAATGACAAACTAAAAATGAAACTCAGGAATAAAAGCAACCAAAATACTGGTGAACTAAAACAGTGGACCACAATAGGGTCTTTTTCTTCCACCGACAGAGAGAGTAAACTCTCAAGGAATGACAATAGTAATATATTATCAGTTTTACATGAAAATTTCATGTAAAGCTTTCAAAAAAAAGAAATTTTTTACTTTATAATGTTCCAAAAGAGTAAAGAAGATTCCCCTCTATAAGAAGAAATAATCAGACCCAAACACTTGGCTCCCTTTCATCCAAGAGGAAGACCAGAATGGGTATCGTTATATTGCCAAGGTCCCAGGAACACACTGCACAGCTCTCAGTTGCTAAAACAGGATAAAGCAGAGGTGTCAGACTCTTTGCCATGGAAGTTTTGCTGACAACGGCAGCTTATCAGGATCTCCCTTCTCTGGTCTACAACACTTTATTTTACTAGGCACCATCCTGTACCTCACATACCTCACATATGGTTCTATGCCCCCAAGAGATACACTCTGCAAATAAAGAGAAAATGTCAAGTACTCCACTGCATCATCTGTGAAATCTAGCCTGGAATCAAAAATGAAAGTTTGAAGTAACAAGCAATGCTTTTATGTTAGGAAGTGAACGATACCACTATTTTACTCAGAACAATGCCAGAAGTACCCAGGCTTATCTGTAAACCACATCATCAGAGTCATATGAGCATCTCCGTGGCATTAGAACCGCATCACTCCTTGGGAAATGCGTGGGTAAAAGTGTTGAATGGAGCACCTCTGAACCACCCAACAAGGTGGAACATCCCTGGACAAGGGAGCACCCAGCTTGCAATCTTGAGTGGCCACTTGCCACAAACTTCATCACTCAATGGTCTGGAAGATTGTGAAGCTCAGTTGCCACGGGGCCCATGGTTCCTTTGCTATGGGGACTTGCCATTGCAAAGGAAAGAGTGCATTTCCAAATGACCATATCAGCACAGCCCGTGGCTCTGGCTTTCAGAGCCCAAGAGAAGTTATTTTGAGAAGAAAGGACAGCAGTTCATGCAGTAGCGGCAACATTAGAAATGATCTCTCTGGTGCACTTTTTCTCCGTGTTCACATTTGTAGTACTGGATTGCCCCCAGCTGGTATGAGGAGAATATTCCGTGGCTTTATTTTATTTCTCCCATTTTTTTCAAGGAAGTTAGATAGTCTACATCAATGTTCGATGAAAAACAATGGTAAGTGATTCATCTTCACATGTTTAAACTTAAACGTTTATACCTGGCTGGTTTTGGACATTTGTCAAAGTTAAGTCACTAAAGCTTAATAGAGAGGTTTATTATAATGGCTATTGAGCCACTACAGACTCCTGAAGGACAGAACACAGTTCTCTGATTCTTCTGTTCTTTTTGCCCAGATAGGGGACACTCTGTCCACATCTCTCTTCTTTCCTATCTGCCTTCCTGCCTTCTTTCCCCCCATTAGCACACAAGTACCACATACGTGAGTATCTCTCCAGAGTTATCTCCAATTCAGTGGCATCAAAAAACACAGCTTATCCCAAAGGCACTTCTCTCTTTTTCTTATTCTTTCACATTAGGACAATATAGAACTGTGCACTAAAACGACCATGACCTAGCACCTGACTTACAGGGAATGGAGGGACCAGCATACATGTGTGGATGCTGCCCTTTGATATGTCTCTTCATAGTCACAGGGCATGAACTATCATCAATCAATTCTAGGAGCAGCTGGATCCTTAATCTGTAATCTTTGCAGGGTCAGATACAGAGTTTGAGAGCCTGATGCCAATGAAGGACTCTTTCCCAAGAAAAAGGGCACACAGAATTTTATATCCGATTTCAGAGAGTGCACAAACTCCTGAAGTCCATGGTGGACTTCTAGGTCCCAAATACCTTTCTTTCATCTTATTCTTTTATGTCTTATTTTAGCAAATAAAACTCCTTTGGCCATTGCAAGCATTCAGTAAATATCTGTTGCATTTAACTGATCTGTCTTCCTAGAACTGTGAATGGCCAATGCAGAATTACTAAATGATAGAAGATATTTCCCCACCATGCAATAAATCAACTCAAAAAATGGTTAGATTACTTGAGGATCAAACAACTTCTCATTCCACTTCCTCTTTCCCTGAAACCTCTGTATCAATAACCTTTAGGTCTCATCTTCATGGTACCATTATCCCTGGGGATCCTAATCTGAGGATTGTCCTGAAAACCCAGATCTGAGGTTTCATAAATAATAAGGCAGCAAGTAAATTCCCAAATAATAGCCTCCAAATCCAACACCCCCCCCGCCACACACACACACACACACACACACACACACACACACACACACATTGTTTCTGACTTTGAGCTGGAGCTGGGAATCCATTAGATCTTCAGTAAAGAAGAGGTTCAATGGCAAAGAAGAGCGAGGCCCCTGGACCAACTGGCTGGGTATGGGGCATTCAGCCCCACTCCAACCCACACAACACACACAGTCAAGTGTGCAAAGGAGAGGAAAGCAGAGTCGAGAATCTCCAGGGTAGCTGGCTCCTTAGCTGCAACCGAAAGCGGCCAACTGAATCCATAGAGAAATCATAGTCTCTCTCCATGAAACACTAGGCTTCCCCTGGGGGCTCAAGGATTTGTCACAGGCTCGACTCACATCTTGCCTCCCAGGAGCCAAATCTTGAGGCTTTGGAGGCAGGTAGACCGTGACCTGTAATACCCCATCTAATTGTGCTACCCAGTCTTCAGAGGAAAGAAATCCCAGCTGAGCCCTCCAGGCAATCAGTCTGAAAGTCCTAAAAATACAGCCATAAATTACCCTGGATGTCTTATTTCTATAGAGTACATTTTAGCAGGAACATTCCTTTTGGGGCTGTAATTCTGAACTTGTTCCACATTTCTAACAGCCCTGCTGGAAAATCTCTCTTCTAATCACTAGGCTGTGCTTCTGGTGACACTGTCACTTTCCAAGTACTCACAATTCAAAATCACTTCTTATCTCCAGCAGCTCCCAAGCCGAAAGAAGATTTTTAACCGCCCGGGTCTCCCGTAGCTCAAAGATTTTCTTTCCAATTTTGTGCCTTTGCCAGGTTTTTATAAAATGATTTTGGTCTGTCCTCCCCACCCCCTTTGTCATTTCCCCTCCTTGCCCTGCTGCCTGTTTTCTAAAACCCAGGTTAAAAAGACATTAAACAACAGGGTTAATGAGGGAGGGAGGCCAAAAGACTCCTGGGCACTGTCCATCCCTATCCTACTAGTTCATCTTTACTCTGTCTTAATGAGCCTGCTGATTTTGTCACCTCTGGGGTCAAGGTGAGCCCAGGAGCTTCAGAAGGTGGCATTATAAATCCTTCCCTGTGACTATCAGTGGAAAGGGAGGGCATCCACTAAAGTTCAATCATAAACCTCAACAACACAGTCAATGGAGCCTCTGCTTCAAACAAACACAACGCCTGACACAACACCTGCGTTGAGCACCTACATTACGGCAGGTCTGATTCTTGAGCTGATTCTTGAGCTGATTCTTGGCGTGGCCAAAAAGAGAGCAACAGTTCCTCGGCTTAGGTAGCTCACATGTTAGCAGGGGAACATGGGCAATTACACGTGCTGATTTCAAAGAGCGAGAAGGCTCACACATGAAAAGGAGCTGGGACAAATACAACTTGAGAAAAAGTTTAAGTGTACTCTCTGAACAAAGGTAGTCAATCAAGGATCTGAATTTTAAGAAAAAGCCAGGCCCTAGCTGGTTTGGCTCAGCGGATAGAGCGTCAGCCTGCGAACTGAAGGGTCCCGGGTTCTAGTCTGGTCAAGGGCCCATGCCCGGGTTGCGGGCTTGATCCCCAGTCGGGGGCATGCAGGAGGCAGCCAATCGATGATTCTCTCTCATCATTGATGTTTCTGTCTCTCTTTCTCCCTTCCTCTCTGAAATCAAGAAAAATATATTCAAAAAAATAAGGAATAAAGAAAAAGGCCAGACTAGGAAAAGGGCATTTTGCGAAAAATAATGATAAATTAACAGTCTGAGACATGAATGAGCATGGTAAGTAATGGTAGGGGAACAGGTAAGTTCCTCCCCACCATGGTTTCTGTGTAAGGAAGGAAGGGGAGAGAGGCCTAGGACCAGGCAGGAGAAGTAGCCAGAGGCCAGACCATATGGGACCTTGGAGGGAATACTTGCTAAGGGAAAGTATTTGCATTTCATTTGACCTAAATTAGTCATAAAAGGTTTAAGTAAAAGAGAGACATGATCTGAATGTTTCAAGCTCAAGTTGATCCTACTTACATAAAAATGTAGGAAAGAAAACCCTACCATAAAAGAGAGAGGTTAGTGGCTGCCTAGGGCCAGAGGTGTGGATAGTGATTGCAAAGTGGAACAAATGAATTGGGGGAGGTTATGAAAATGTTCTATCTTGATGTGGTAATGGTTACATGGGTATATAATTTGTCAAGATTCATCAAAGTACACTCTTAGAAGGGTACTTTTTATGTATGTATGTTTTAACTCAATAAAGTTGGATTAAACACACACACACTCACACAGGAGACTGCCAAGTAGAGACAGGAGGAGCAGTTAGGAGCCTGTCACTGTAGGGGGAGTAGAAATCATGATGGCTTCTCTGAGGATGGTCTCAGCATTTAGATTTTGGGGGCAGAGCAATAGGACTTCCTAACACTGGGATGGGGTGGAGCAGGGAACACCTTGCCAAGCGCTTTGTGGAAGAGGCATTTCTAATGGTTCATTTATGACACCAGAGGACCCAGGGAAGCCTCTTCATATGATATGGCTAATTCTCTCATGGTTATTTAATCTCCTTGGGCAAAATATCAGGGTGCTCCAACTTTCCAACTTGCCATAGTTAAACTAGGAAGGTGGCCCTGTTTTTCAAAATGCTGCTGAACTATGCCTCGCATAGAGAAGATATTCAGTAATAACTGCCCCGTTTACTTACTCTGTCACTGGCTTTGTGCACTCTGTAACAACTGGCTCCCCACTCCCTCCGTAAGTTGCCAGTTATAAGGATAGAAGCTGAGTGGGAGGCTGAATTGCAGCCCGCTTTCCTGATGCACAGTGACAACCGTGATATCCTCTGCAACTAATAAGGTCACCCTAAGGCTGCTGGCATCTTCTCGAGTAGGAGACGACCTGCCTACAGCCACAGGAGATGAACCTGCAAAGTGACTGTTCCGACTTCATGGGACACAAAAAGCAAGCTGAGTGTGGATATCTCTAAAGTCAGAATTGTATGATGACTGTGAATACTGATTCATTCATATTCTCTCTCTCTCTCTCTCTCTCTCTCTCTCTCTCTCTCTCTCTCTCTCTCCCCCGCCCCCTCTCTCCAAGCTCTTACTAAAACTAAGAGGTCTTTCCTCCAGCTTAACATACTAGTCTCTCTTTTTTTGTGAATATAAATACAACTTCTGGATTGTTTTAAAGACGTTAGCATTTGATTATACTTTGTTTTGAAAATAATCTCTTCTTCCCCCCCTTCTTCATTCACTCAGTATCCACTCCTGGGTGAGGTATGGGGCAGGCACCAGCATCACTGAGGGGAGTGAAATGTAACCCTGTAATCTTTCATTTATTAGTCTAGTCCCTTTCAAGTAGACCTCACACTCTGTGGAGGCAACACCCATTTTTGATCCCTCTCTCAGACCCCAACATATAATCAAATTATAAAAAAGTTCATGCTGATCTATTTATTCCCCAAATGTTAGATAATTAAGAGCGAGCCATACTTCAAAGTGGGGGTCAGCAAACATTCTTTAAATATTTTTAAAATAATAAATATATTAGGCTTGGTGGACCATAAAGTCCTGATATGACTACTCAATTCAGCCACTGTAGCACACAGGCCATATATACATGAATAAGAATGAAAATTTATTTTAAAAAACAAGTGGTGGGCCATATTTGCCTCACAGACCATTGTTTGCCACTACCAACTTTATATAATGCAGCATAAATGAATGGAACATATCATAAAGAGTTCCAATTAAAATTCACATCAGTAGTTCTTACCCTTATTTGAGGCATAAACTCCTCTGAAAATATGAATAAGCATCTCCTCCAGAAAATACAACTACAAAATTTTGCATTCAGTTCATCTATTCAACAGTAGAATGTATGTCATTTGATCTGTAACAAGTTATTCGTAGGAAATTAAAGGTGTATCTCCCCACCACAGTGGAAGCTATCAGATTCTCCCTTAAACTACAATGTGAGCTCCTCATCAGAATCCGGGGCACAACTGAACATCCTTGGAAGTGAGTAAGAAACTTTCTGCTTTTCTCTGATCTCTTTGTTCCATCTCAAAAGGCAGTCCAGTGACTCTTCTACATGCTGCCTTCATGCCTGTCCCTGTCCCCTTTGGTTCTGCAACTAAGCAAGGAACCCTGGAATCACCTCCCTCTGTTTGTTAACACCTATTCCCAGCCCGCACTGACTGGGACATTCTGCCCCAATATGAAGACTCACCAGTAAGCAGTGCACAGGGTCCCCCCTTAAATCCGTGTCCGGCGCCTGCAGCAAATGCCAGTCTCTGCCTTTGTTATAGGTGATGAACGTCTTCACTTGGTTGTCAATCTTCTTGTTAGCCAAGAACATCCCCTTTATCCCTGCTACCTGGGAAAAATGGACATGGCTGAAAAATACATCGATTTGAGAAGGGATGTCTTTGTTTACTTAAAAGAACAGAGGCAGACTGTTTAATTCAGCAGTGAGCACTTGTCTTGGAGGGAAGAAGGGGTAAGGATGGTAGAAGGAGGGGGTGATGATTAAGTATAATGACTCCCTGAACAGTGAGGCAGAAAGCAACAGACCTGAGCCCCTATGGTATGGGGGGCCTAATGCAACTGTGATAGAGAATTTTTATGGCCCCTAAGGTAGGTTGGTAGTAGCTTGCCGTTGCCTAGAGATAAACTCTGGTGCTTTCAGTTTTGCTATTCAATAAATGATAAATAAATAGAGGCTATTTTATTTTATGTTACCCTCAGCACCCACAGTCTTCAATATGTTATTTCATTTAAATCTTATAACAGTTCTCTTGGGTAATTATCACCTATTCTATGTTACACATGGGGAAACTGAGGCTCATCCAGGTTAAGTGACTTGCCCAAGGTCACACAGCCAAAGGAAACACTGGGTACACAGGCTAGTAAGTGGCTGGGACTTCAACCCACAACTCTATGTCTTCACAGCCCATGCTCTTAAGAACTATCTAAATCATGGTGCTCTCTAGAGCTGTGGGCCATTAAAAGAGGTCAGTGAAAGCTAATGATTCAATTACTATTTTTTCCTGTAAGAGATTGCTCTACTAAGCCACCAAAATACATTGAGCAAAAGAGAACTGCTCTTAAACTTAAGGAAGTAATAATCTCCCTACATTGTTGATTAATCCCTCCTCCATGCCCATAATACTATTGTTCCCACTATAAACAGTACTTATTAATTACTTGGCTTTTAAAATATGACTGCCTTCTCTGTTCTGTAAGTTATGAAAGAGGTAATAATTGGTAAGTTGCCCAAATTGTGCTCTAACAAATCATGAAGGATGCATTATATCTTTGGGTGTTTTTGTGTTTATTAAACACATTCATGCACATTTTGCTCTGCTTGGAATTATGACAACCCAGGAAAACTGGAGGGCAGTGAGGAAAGGGTCTGAGATATGTTATATTGTGCATTCCAACGCTATGCACAGGTGACCTTACTTAACTCTCACAGTAAGCACATGATACAGTTATCATTACTCACATTTTGAGGTTGAGGAAACAAAACTGAGATTAACTGGCTTTCTGTTGCACAGACAGGGATGAAGTGAATAAGCTCACGGGCATATCTGAGCCCATTTCATTTAACTCAGGCCCTTTATATTATCTTATAAAGGTTTTAGGCAGACAAGTACAACAGCATTGATCCTTGCCATGCACCAAGAAGTATGCTCAGTACTTTATATATAAAAAACCTTCGATGTTCACTGCAAACCTGCCACCACAGCTATTATACCCATTCTATGGATGGGGAAACTGAGGTGTAAACAAAAATCAATTGTTTAAGATAACAGAGCTGGGGTTCACTCACACCCGAATTTTCTGACTTCCACTGATCTTCCAACAACTACAGCTCTGAATTTGTCTGTTCAAAGAGGCTGGGTTTCAATCCATAGAGGATCCAGGGCTTGCCTTTGCTTCTGACACATTCAAACCTCATTAGTTTGTACCTGCTGATCTGGCATCTGGGGTAATGTAGAGTTGGGCCAACTTCATACACTTTTGGAAGACAAGTGTGTTAAGCAAGTAAATCCTAGAAATGAGTGCCTGGTGGGAATGCTTTGAACTACTTAGGGCAGCAAGCCTCACTGGGGGCAATCAGCAGCAGCCGGAGCAGTTTCTTGATCCTCCACAGTGTGGGAGCGCTGCACTCCAGGAGCACTGACCTCCCAACAATGGCATGTGAATTACAAATTGCATTTAGTTATTCACTCACCATACCAGCTCCTGAAGGGTGACTCACCAGGGAAACCCACATTGGTTTTGCATATGTTCCAGAGGCTGCTACATATTTCACTACAGCTAAACTGCCAGTTCTTTAAAAATTAAATTTCACATATCAGAATTTTCACAAAGTCGCACTGGTCTTCCCTCATCAGCGAAACCTATACATGAAAAATGGCACTGTCTTACCCATCAGACACGCTAGGATAGGGGTGGGCAAACTTTTTGACTCGAGGGCCACAATGGGTTCTTAAACTGGACCGGAGGGCCGGAACAAAAGCATGGATGGAGTGTTTGTGTGAACTAATATAAATTCAAAGTAAACATCATTACATAAAAGGGTATGGTCTTTTTTTTTTTTTAGTTTTATTCATTTCAAACGGGCTGGATCTGGCCCGCGGGCCGTAGTTTGCCCACGGCTGCTAGGAGGTGACCATAGGTACAGAGGGGATAGAAATATTGCCTCTCCCAGGAGTTTCATTGCCCATTCCCCTTCCTGCGCTGCTCTTCCTCTTTTGGTCAGAGCAGGGCTCTGTACATTTAGCACTTGGTTCATTTGCTTAGCAGAAGTGGTGACTTTATTGGCCCCCAACTGCTTGGCATTATCAAAGGCCACTTGAGCTGAGAGCTGCGCTTTGTAACTCATCTCTGGCAGCTTGGCCTTCAGGTTTATCTTGAGGAATAAAAACTTGGCAAAGCGCAGGGAGTGTGTGACAAGAGGGGATAGAGCTGGAGAGGGCCTGCTTATCTCCCTCCTGCGGCCAGGGCATTGCTCCGTGGAAGTCCCATTCGAGGTGTGTTTTTATTGTTTGCTTCTTTGGACTTGTCTGCAAGTCCTGGTTTTGTTTTTAATGTAACAGGTAATAAGAATTCTGCATTGGAAGCTATAACCACAATAACAGCACCCCAGGTTTAATAAGCACTTATGAAATGTTAGGCATTACATGCAAGGCTTTGCAAGCATGAGCATCCATCTGCCCATGAATTCTAAGTGGCAGAGTCAATGTTATCCTCATTTTACAGAGGAGAAAACCAACGTTCAGATGTGGCCAATCACTTGTCTGAAGTCATCCCCTAGGGAACCTTAGAACTGGACTCCAAGTCAGTCTGTCTAACTCTAGAACCCATACGCTTCTGTACTATTTCCTCCAACTTCTCTCTCAACCCAGAGCATTCAGAGGGAAATACCACCTTGGATATCACACTTACAGGAAGCTGCGTTTTATTCATTCAGTAATACATTTACTCAATAGTTGCTCAGTAAATATTTTTGAGCTTCTATTTATCATGCATTCTTATAAGTGCTGGGGTCATAGTACCCAGGGTGTCTAAACAATTATATATTCATTCAAGAGACCTTTTTTTGAGAGTTAGAATATGCAAGGCTTGGATTTCTTTGGTGTTTTAATGGAAGAACCCAGTTACCTCCTTTTACTTTTCATAGTTACCACCATGGGGTCCTTTCCAGTCCCAATCTTTCATATGTTGCATGTGGAGGCTAAGTTGGGAAGATTCTTGCACAAAAGCTTTTGCTCTTTTCCGCCTCTGATGCTCAGATACTTCCTCCCACCCTCTCTGACTCTGACTGAAATTACAAATCCAAAGGGTCAACATGTGAAGAAAATGAAAAAGATGAATCAAAAGCTGTGACAAGAAAAAGAACATATTCATGACCTTGATTTCTTTGGTCTTTGAGGATAGGATATGTTTCCGTTCTGAAGAGAAGATCCAGGAGAGACATAGTCAGCGGGAACAGGAGTGCCTCTGCCACCAGAGAACCCATTGCCAAAAAAATCTAAATGTTCTTTCCTCCCCGGGTGCCTTGATCAGACAGCACTCCCCTCCCAGGAGACAATCACCTTCAATAATTAGGTGGCACGTCCCATGTCCTGTAAGAAATATGTCCTGGATGGGAAAGCCTTTTTCTTTCCCACCTCCTGTGCTGGATTGTATGAGGCAGTCTTTCCCTAAGAAATCAGGGTATTAGCTCCATGCCCATAACTATGGCGCTTTCTCTTTGAAAGAGAGGACACTCATAACGTGGAGAAGACCCCATGTGCTTAACTACACACACACCGTGTCTGGCATGGCACCCAGTGTGGCTCACTCACGTGCGCACGCATTCTGGGCATTCTGAATTTGCTGGCCAGGTGGCTTGACTGCCAACACAAACCTTTCCGCTTGGCTGGGTGGACTGTCATTGTCCATTAAGCCAAAGTGCTCTTCATCATCATTAATTAATATTCCCTTCCCCGAGGAGGAAGGATCTTGTCTAAAGCTGTCAGACTCCCTCTCATCATCCACACCAGATGAACACACTAGGAACCACACGCTGCAGACACGCTCGTCACAGCTCTCTTGCTCTGGTCACCATCAGGCACGCTGTCGTCTGTTAGCCGCGCACATGGTGCCACGGGAATGCTGTGCTCTTCATGAATGACAGGATTTTAAGACACTTGTTTCTAGGCTTCTTTTACACAAACACATCACTGGACAACACTGGGGGCCACATTATAACACTGTGAATTTAGCTACAGTTGCAGGCTCTGGACTTGGTTCAGAAGGTAGTGAGCAGGTCTGGAGCAATCATCTGCTCATTCTGTGTATGTTGGCTTTTCCCCAAACCATTTCCTTTTTCCAGTCTAATTTCTTCTACTGCTAAGTCCAATACTAGTCATCCTGCCCTTCAATGTCCTTCTATCTTACAGCTTTTACTTGGTCACAATCAAATACAATCCCAAATACTGATGTTTCCAGATACACAAAATAGTTTATAGGTAAGAGTTTGCATACTCTAGGCTTCAGATCCTAAATCCACCACTTACTATCTTTGTAATCTTGCAGAACTGATTGTACTCTCTCTGCCTGTATTTACTTACGTGTGAAATGGGAGGAATTATAGTCCCTCATATATGAATTGAATGAAATATTCGCTAATGTTTTTTTTACATAGTGCTTGACACATAATGGCATCCAAAATATTAGTTATTATTATTATTATTATTATGCTCTTTCATGAACAAAAATCAGTTTCTAGTACTCTTGCTGTGTAGCCAATGGCTCATGTTTATTGATTCTCTTGAATGAGGTCCATGTTCAACTGAATAACTCACACTGAGGGAAATGTCTGGTGTTTCCATAACTAAACCATATAATCTACCCCCGCAACACTTTGTTTCCAACATTTCCCCTTCTCCTATCTCGTCACATACACATGTTCTAGTGTAGAGAGAACTACATTTGTCACAAGGGTCCAATGTGTGTGGGAATAGAATGATTAATTCCTTCTGCATTTCCCACAAAGACTCATCAACAATACGTATCCTTGATACACAAACTCGTCATACACCTACACGTTATAGTTTCCCTCTGCTAAACTAGCTTAAAGAGCATACAAATACAGGACTCGCAGGTAATTGGCAGGCATGCAAAGAACACAGACCAAAAGTCACCACAGTTACCCCCAATGGTGAGCAGACATGTACTAGTATTCTCTATCACCCATCACCTCCTATGCTGCTCATCTCTGCTTCTTTTTGAATCAGCTACGGATTTTCTTACTTTTCATTTATCTCTAAGTGCTCATCATTCACTGTAATTCTCCTGGGGAATTCATGCTGGTTGGTTCTCAGCTTCCTGCTAGCCAGAACAATCACATTGAAGGAACATTGGTGCCAGGTTCTGTGTCAGCCAATATCCCTTCTAGCTAGGTAATCAGAAGATCTGGCACTGCCATTCTGATCACATCCATTTCAATTCAAGTTGCAGTGAACTGTCAGGCTAATAAAAGAAAGACTCTTCTTCCCAGCCCCAGAAAGCAGAGCACCTTTACATAATGCAGTCACACCACTGCTCACAGTGACACTAATAAGAGCCCGCAGATCCTCTACAGATAGTCAGCTGAGAGAGACACAAGGGGAAACACAAGGAATTAGCAAAGAATGGTTGCCATGGCCAGAGGTCAACCAGTTTCTTCTTCTCATTCTGTATTCGTTTTAGTGATGTTTACATTCAGAAAACCACTTGAGCAAACAGTTTAAAAATAACAGGACATTGCAAAGTCATTCCTGTCCAAACCTGTCATCTCTTCTATCATCAAGGGGCCAATTAAAATGGTCTCTATTTTTGCAGAAAACGAAATTTATGCAGAGAAATTTTTCCACGTTGAGTTGAGAAGAGGGGAGGAGATAATCAGAAATGGAAGAACTCATCCCTTGGTCATAATCAAATACAATCCCAAATACTGACGCTTCAGAAAATGTTTTTGTGGTTTGTTGTTGTTGTTTTTTTTTTTTTTTTGGGGGGGGGGCGGGCGCGAGGGGGGAGAGCCAGGACAGAGACAAGATCAGGGAATCAAGCTGCTTTGACTTCAGACCAGCAGATACCACACATGGAGCAAGATCTTTCCATTGCAAGTGCTGGATCAAAGCAAGACAACAAATGGCATTTCAACGCAACACCCTTAAAGTTTAAATGTTTATAAGACATTTACAAATGAGGAAAGAAATGTAGCAATTTACACTTGTTTATAAGGAGACAACTCGTTGGTGTTAAAGAATGTCATATGGCCATGCTAATTGCAATATGGGAGAAGTAGAGATCTGAAATAGTGGAAATGTGTTAGACATTTAAACAATGTGGGCAGATTTAAAAAAAATAGGACATCATACTGGGGCTTAAACTTATTGGAACATAATATTAATTATTCTATCTATAATTTGTTGAATATTTTAGGCACTGTTCACAGTACTTCAAGAAGATTAACTTGTTTAATCCTCAGAGAAACCCTGTCAAGTAGGCACCCTGTTTATCTCCATATTTTCAGTAAGGAAAGTGAGTATCAGAAGTTACTGGATATGTGTCAAGAATACATATCTGTGGTATAGCTAGGATTTAAACCCAGAAAACCTGACTCCAACATTCATACTCTAAGTCACAATTTTATCCAACAGTAATTTGAAACTAAATCACCAGAAAATGTAAATGTTTTCCCAAATACATGTTTAGTTTGAGGCTGAGATTTATGATACTATATTTATCTGGGACATGAGCAGAAAAGGAAGTGGAAGAAACTTGTGAATATATTTAAAAAAAGTTTGCAGAGTGTTTTTCTAAAGATATACACACACTACACTCAATGCTCGTCTACCACAATTTCCATGACAAATCCCCAGGCTCTGAATTGGGCATATAGTGTGTTATCATGCCTTTATACATACAGAGAAGTTTAACTACTAGGAGAAAATCCCTAAGAACTCCTAGAGGAGAAAGAGTATAGATAGCATTCAGAAAATTAAAATGATAAATTTGAATTTCTTCAGAGACATTGGTTTATATCTTTGACATACTTGATAGGAATTTCTCCTTATAAAACCCCTTGACCTTCAGAGCTTACACTCAGCCAAACAATAGCATCATTGTGACTGCACATATTTGAATCGGTTTTAGAATATTTTTCACATAGAATATAGGCATATGATTAAACGTCCCACATTCTGAATGTGTTTTTAAATGGGTCATTATAAGCCATTATAAATCATTCATAGCACAAGATAAGACTGACAAATGGCTAAAATCCATCCCAAAATAGCAGCTTTCTTTCTACCTAACTGTGCCTTAAGTGACAATTAGAGCATTGGTGTTTGCCATAAAAGCTAACTGATCCAACATATAGCATTTTATTTTCAATCTTGGTCATTTTGAGAAACAAAGGGCCAAAGTTCCCTTAAGGAAGCCTGGGGAACTCTGCTCTGTCCCCTTCCATCCGTCATTTAGGAAACAAAGATCTATTACTCTTATCTCACTGTTCCTCTGAGAGGCAGGCAGTCAGCCAGTGGAGGTTATCTAGTTGGAAAGGTGTTCAAGTCCAAGAGAGTGTCTTCTGATGCAACGCAAAGGTGTCTCCTCCCTTCTTTTCCTCAGACAGAGATAAGGGACCACTGTCCCCTTTGCTCTACATCAGCGGTTCTCAACCTGTGGGTCGCGACCCCTTTGGGGGTCGAATGACCCTTTCACAGGGGTCGCCTAAGACCATCGGAAAACACATATATAATGACATATTGTTTTTGTGATTAATCACTATGCTTTAATTATGTTCAATTTGTAACAATGAAATTGGGGGTCACCACAACATGAGGAACTGTATTAAAGGGTCGCGGCATTAGGAAGGTTGAGAACTACTGCTCTATATCCTGATACCCTGCTGGCCTCTCAAGACTATTTTCAAATTGCATACTCTGTGAATCTTGTTGAAATCCTTCTTTTAAAATATATATATATTTATTGATTTCAGAGAGGAAGGGAGAGGGAGAGAGAGAGAGAAACATCAATGATGACAGAGAATCATTGATAGACTGCCTCCTGCATGCCCCCTACTGGGGATTGAGCCCATAACCCAGGCATGTGCCCTGACCAGGAATCGGTTGTATGTGACCTCGTGGTTCATGAGGTGACATACAACCACTGACATACAACAGCATCCCGGCTCTTGTTCAAACCCTTTAATTGCTTTACCGCTTCCCCTGATGCTCTCCAAGTCCTCTGGGGCTTCCTCGCCTGTGAACTTGGTGAACAAAAGATCCTTCCCAGAGCTGTTCTGTGGGTTGCATTACAAATGTTCTGCAACTCACTCCCTCTCCCAAATTAAATGAGGCCACATAATTTGCTCATATCAAAATGATGAAGGAAACAGCCAGTTGGGCCTTCGTCAGCCAGTGCAGGCACTGGAGTGGCTCAGGACCACACGTGCCTTGTGACATACCTCATAGAGGTCGATCATGACATTGCCCTCAGGGCCTCTGCTGCTCTGGACATTCTCCAAGGCCAAGGTGAAATAGACACCCCTGGTGTCTGAGATGTAGAGGTTGTAGGTGTCGTTTTGGTTCCATTCTTGGACCGCTGCAAACACTTGATTCTCATCTGTGCTGATGACGTGCATGTCCTAAATAAAACACAGGAAAGTGAAGAAGAATTTTATAAATAAATCTGACATGCATCCAAACAGCATAGAATCTAATGAGGAATACCGAAATAGGCACTTCGGCAACTATAAGGGGAGGTAGAGATTTCCCTTTCACTTATTTGTGATGTCATAATTAATTAGGTAAGTGTTATTCATGTATTTCCTTTCTCTTGTATGGGGTTAGGCAGCAGTGTTATGAGAAAATAGGACAGAGAGATGCTTGGTAGCTCAGTTATGATTTAATTGTCTCATTAGATAATGGAAGAATACGTTCTCAAATATGTATGACTTTGGAGAATCAGTCATTCTGATATATTTGCCAACCACAGCATGGTTCATGCTCAGAAGGATTATATGGGGTTTATTCCTTCATAAAAATCTGGAGGAACAGAGAGAAACCTGACAAGCTCTGCATATTCCAGTGTGGTCCATGGACCAGTACGGGTATCACCTGCAAGTGTGTTAGACACACAGAACTTCGAGTTTCACCTATTGAATCAAAAATCTGCATTTTAATAAGATCCATGATGATTAATATGCACAATAAAATTTGAGAAGCACTGCCCAAAGGTTCAGCAACCCCCAGAAGACCTTGAGGAATAATGTTCACCTGAGAAAGCAAAGCACTAATATTCATGTTAATGTGTGTTCAAGGACTTAGCTGCTTATCTAAACCTTTACTCTGAGTTCAGCAGGAAACCTTAAGTAAAAGAAGAAAAAGAGAGAGAGAGAGAGAGAGAGAGAGAGAGAGAGAGAGAGAGAGAGAGAGACTTCATAATTGATGATGTTTTCATACCCTGGTAGTCCTGGAAGATAAAAAGAAGGCAAAAGTAATGTGGGGGCAGTGAGCAGATGTCCCTGGGGTGGGAATTTCAATTCCTTCTTCCCCTATTCTGAACTCCAGAGAAGTGGATGTTCAGAGGAAAGCAGACACAGACCAAGGCTTGCTGTCTCCCTTAAGAGATGTCTGTCCATGTGCTGTTTGCCCAAGGTGGTAGACATTGATATAACTCTCAAAAACCAAAAATCAAAGCAAAACAACAAAATTATACATAAGCACAAAGAACAACAAGGAAAGATTCTTGGCTTTTGTGTAGCTTAGTACTCAAGTTTTCCCAGATGAACCTTCCTCTGCCCTTGAAAAGCTTTAGGAGATCTGTCAATCTTCCTTGGTCAAAATTCCAGTACAGCAAAACTCTACCTACCTTCTAACCTGATTTTCTCCTTGTAATATATGCCTCTGTTCTCTCAATCAATCAACCAATCATTCAACCAATCAGCAATTCAGCTCTGTCTGTGCTTTAGACATAGAGGAACAAGTGACTCCCTCTTTTTCAGCCTTGATCAAAGTGAAATCAAATGAGTCCAGAAGGAAGAAGTCTTTATCTATAGGGCTTTGCATTCCTCAGGCCTAGAGTTTGGTTAAGCTTTTGTAGAATTAACCCAGAGTTGTAAGGCCAAAATAAATCCTTCCCATTGAATCAATGTAATCAACAACACAAACTAAATTTTGGAATAAAAGTGGGCCATTGCATGTATCTATCCAATGTCTCTTTATATTTCTTCTGATAATTGTATCTCAATCTACTTTGAAAAACATCCTCATCCCTCACAGACAAATTCCTTCTTAACCCAGTCTCTTGTTTTCTATCACCCTCAGCACCAGAAGTGGGTTGGTAGGCCCAGCATTCAGAATATCTAATTTCCCTGATGATAGCAACTTGATCAGTGTTGAATATATGACCTATGCAAAATCAATAACACATGAATCTGGAACCAAGCTGGGACTATTAGAGTGGGGGGAAAGCATCTCTTACTCTTGGTTTATAAATAGTAAGAATTTTCGAAAGTCTGGATCTGATGAAGACATATTTTCGAGGTAGAAGATGAAGTCAATCCTGAAGAAAATAGTCTAGAAAGGTAGAGAAAAGAGGCCAAATTCTGTGACGTTCTTTGTCTTTGAATGTGGAAAACTTAAAAGCCTGCCCCGCCTGTAAAGTTTTGGGTTCAAGAGGACAATAGAGAAAAATTATTTTAAAAAATGGATTCTGAAATAAACTGTTTGAGTCCAAATGTGGGCTCTGTAACTTAACTATGAACTGAACTCTGTGCCTCAGGAGTTCTCGTGGGCCTTCCATGGACCTGGGTAGGGTGTCGGGGAGGGAATTACATCAGCTAGGGAGTTCAAAGCACTGAACATCTGCTCCACTTGCCAGTGATTTTCAGATAAGCACGCCTTTACATCCCCTTTGTTGATTAAGCAAGGTCCATGTGGCCTTCCTGTTCACAGCCAACGCCAGGGTGCTCACTAACATACTCTACAAAAATTGGTTCACCCAAGGTTTTTGTTCCTTTCCAATGGAGGGAATTAGCTGTGGAAATTATGCCAGGGCCAGTCAACCATGGAGAGCAAAACCTTCTATGGCTCCCCATTTCCTATAGGATAAAGACCAGAAGCCATACCCTGGTATTTAGAGTCCTCAAATAACTACTCCCAATCCAAGTTCCCTTCCATGTCAGCGGGATACACTGTCATCTCTCCATTCAAGTTAAGGTACATCGGCAATAGCCTGGCCCCTACAAAACTCATTCCTGTGCCTTTGGAGTCAAAGTGAAACTCTGAAGTCTGGGTCACAAGAGAAATCTCATTAAATAATCCCAGGGGCTACAGTACATCCTCTATACTATGCCACACACTTGAACCTTTAGTTTTTGGATGTTGAACTGAAAACATAGACACATAAAGTGTTTCTGTCACTCAGAATACTAGTCATATAATCACAGCAGATAATAATAGCAGATTAAAGTGGCCACCTCTGGATAAGGACCAAGATGAGGTGTCTTTCTCTCCATATAATCTAATTACATACACTGAACAATTTAAGAAATATATGTTTTTATTGACTTCAGAGAGAGGAAGGGAAAGGAAGAGAGATAGAGAGAAACATGAATGTGAGAGAGAAACATTGACTGATTGCCTCGTGTACACACCCTGACTAGGGAACGAACCCACAACCTAGGTATATGTACTGACCGGGATTTGAACAGGTGACCTTTCAGTGCATGGGGTGATGCTCAACCAACTGAACCGCACTGGCCAGAACCTTTGAATTGTTTTTAAATGATGTTGGTCTTAAATATTTTAATTGGAAGATTTGACATATTTAAATGACATCTGCATTATTTCTTCTTACCTACATCCACCTCCTCTATCAGGAAAACATGCTCTTTCGCTCTTTCTCCCAGGTAGCATGTTATGTTGAATGCTTTTCCTGAGCCACAGAACTACAGACCTAGAAGTGATCCTTGAGATCTTGTACTACCGTCTTTCCCAAAGTCTGTTCCGTAGGAAAGTAGCATTGTTAGATTTTTAATAGATTAAAAATGGGTCCTTTGGTAAAATGGTTTGATTTATGCTAAATTACTAGTATATAAGTTTCTTGTTAACAAGATGTCCTAGACGTAGAGCCTTCAACATACCAGCTAGCTACTGTTACTCTCTAGTCAAGGAACAAAGAATAGATTTCTTTTTTTTTAATATATTTGGTCACAGAATCAAATTTTCATGAATCATCTCTAAGGACATTTTATTCTGAGTATCACATGTGAGAACATATGGTTGTGAGTCCAAACTCCTTATTTTAAAAAATGTAAGAAAGAACACAAACAAAAACAGGGAAAGAGAAATTGGTAAACCAGCCAGGTTTCAAAGCAGGGTAGTGGCAGATGTAGGTCTGGAATTCTGTTCTTCTGCTGTGAATCGAACAGCCTTTGCACAACCCAGACCCCAGTTCGCATCGATCTTCGACCACACAGACAACTAGATCCATACTAATAATAATATTACCTTGCTTTTATAGAGTATCTGTCCTCCGAAATGCTCAGAGCACTTTCATATGTATTGCCTCATTTATCTCACTTGAGTAGCTCAGAATGAGCTCCAAGTAAGTTAAGGGAAGGGAACTGTCGCTGTCTCTCCCTGTCTGGTGAGACTCATGCTCTTCATGGTGACAGCGATGTTGCACTCCCCCCCTCCCCCTCTCTGGTCATCTTTACCATTATATTAAACCTGCGTGTGTGTGTTTTTGACACAGCCCTGCGTAACCATGGTGTTTCAAGAGCTGACGCAATGGCAGTGGATGATCATTTGAGCACAAAAGTGCTGGTTTGTCTCAATTGCTTTGGGGGACACGAAGCTTTGTTCATTTCCAGCCACAGCAGCCACGGCTTTGATAGAGGGCCGTGAAATATTCGCACCTTCACTGCGGATCACTCCACCAAGCGGGCTCTTTGAAGGGGTAATGGGACTGTAATGAGGCATCTCATTGCCTTAAATAGTACACACCCACTTGGACCAAAGAATACATTCATTTGCTATACGGGACGAGCTAAATGAATCACTACCCTCAAATGAATCACTACCCTCTACCCTCAGAGCTCAGACCAGGCTGAGTAATGGGACAGGCTCATGTGGGAGAACAGGGGGAGGAGATAGAGAGCCGATTCAGGTGTAAAGTCAAACTTGTCCTTCTAGATGGGCTCCATGCCACCGGGGGCAACTGCCACCAGTGATCTGCGTGATGGCTCTGAACAAGAAATGCAAGGAGTGTGTTTCCTCACATTCTCCAATAGGTGCAAGGATGTTTCTTTGACTTTAAACTACCATTTCTGGGGGTCCTCAGGTCAATGGGAATATTTTTCATGGTATCCTCACCTGATCAAAATTAGGGGTCGGGGGAGATACTACTATCTTCCAATAATAGAATACATTGATTTATCCCAAGAAAAGAAAGGTATAATACAAAGAATGCTAGTTTGGGAGTCTGGAGACTTAAGCTCTTGCCTCAATGCTGCTTCAAATAGAATTTCGTTTGGCTGAGACTTATTCCACTTAAAAAAATGTATTTCTAACAGTGAGCATGAGATGAGTGACTTGAATCTGCTATTTACTAATTTCATCTCAATTCCCTCATGCATTTTGAACAAGAGTATCTCATTGCATTGAGTATAATTCTCCTCTTTAAAGGTGTTAAATCTTGTAAGCCAACTGTGTTAGTTGCTGGTCAATCAAAGAAACAGCAATTGATTTCCAAGCTCAAGAGACAGAAAAGCCAGGTCTATTGGACTTAGTGAGGTACCATGTTCACCTCCCTCAAGGGCCTTTCTAAGAGATTAGCAAGGGCAATTTTAAGAACACTCAGTTTCCCTTTACATACTGACTTTACCCAATTCTCATCTAGGCACACCCCAAAGCTGTAAGCTCTTGTCTCTTTGGTAATAATTTTAAGCCAAATCAAGAGCAAGAAGGATTTAAATGTACACAGGTAGAGACATATAGTTAGTTCTGGGCAATTACCGCTGTCATGAATCTCTTAGCAGCTGAACATAATAACTACTAACATGAATATAGTTCTTGGCAGTTAATAGTGCAATTTAATGTGTATTATTATCTCTAATGGGCTGAGGTTTACAGCTCACCTTTCACGATGCTAGGGGTAAGGACAGAGTGATGGCCAGAAGGGAGAATTCTGCCTGGAGAAGCCAGAGCAACTAGCTACCATTGGTTCTCCCACAAGAGGAGCTCTGCAATGCCCTTGTGCTATATCCGTCACCTGATTTCCTGGGCAGCACACTGGTGTTAGGTCAGACAAGCATACTACGAAGTTATGGATTAAAAATACTAGAGTCATAAAAACTCCATCAAAAGAAAGTGCTTTATGTACTTTTTTCAACCCAAAGGTTTCAAAGTTGAGCTGTAACTATATTTACACAGTCTCTGTCTTATAGCCACACACCTCTGTTGCTCTAAAATCAAGGTCCAATGCATTAACAATTTATGGCCACTTTTAGTACACACAATGGCAGCAAGACCGCAGGTCTGAAGCTTTGAGCTCCCAAGTCAGCTTGACCTCCACTAGGTGGTGCTCCATATTAACGCAGTGCCTCAGAGTGTGTGGAAAGAGCCAGGGACTTCCACAGATGAGGGTCTCTAACTCTTATCAGCCACTGTTTAGAAAGGCCTCTGTCTTTGGGGCCGTCTGAAAAATTAGCTGTGACTCAGAACTCTAAAGACAACCTGTCTCAAGTTCCACTGAAAGAGAAAGCAAAGGTTGGATACCATATAGGTGTGTCGCCTCTCAATAATTAAAAAGAAAAAATAATTGAGAAGGAAACATATCATACCCATTGCACTGAAACACTGTGTATCCCCAGTGTATTTTCTGTCTTGCTAGAAAACCAATACCTACTGCTTGAAAATCTTTACTATTGAAAAGAAAAAGCAAATCAGTTATCAATTTATTTATTCAGATGCTCCTATAGGATGAGAGAGAAAGAGAGAGAGGCATGGAGAAAGAGAAAGTGAGAGGGAGAGAGAGAGAGTTTGAGAGTTTGAGTGTGTGTGTGTGTGTGTGTGTGTGAGAGAGAGAGAGAGAGAGAGAGAGAGAGAGAGAGAGAGAGAGAATGCTGAGAAAGGAGAGTGATAAGATTGGCAAAAAAAAAGTGACACCAGATGAACTTGAGAAACTGATGGTAGATGAAAATAAATACATGACAATGAGAGACAGAAAGATGCTTGGGAAAGAGGGTGGCAGCAGGACTATGGGAATCAGAGGAAACTAAAATGAAGAACGATTCAGGTCATACCTTGGGCAGAGCGTACTTGGGCAGCTTCATCTGGGCAAACGCATTCCTTCGGTAGGACACGTAGTAATGCGGCCGTCCTCCCGACGTCAGCTGGACCAGAAACACACAGTTGTAAGAGGAACTACTGTAACAGTTGCAGGCCCTGGAAGAACAGCCACTAAACAAAAGGAGGTCGCTGCCAACACATCAGTGTGAATGACTACCGTGGAAAAGTGTCAGGAATTGGCTTTCAGTTCAAAAACAACTTAAACAATGCATGTGAGTTGGTCAGAGGCCCAGATGGAACCCACTGGACAAAAATACAATTTTTCAATTTGCACTGTGGCTCAGAAGCCAGGAAACATTGTCAGTGATTATGAACTTTCAAAGATACAAGCCTCGAGGGATATTGGATCAATGTCCATCAGCAGCCCAGCTATCTAGCCCCAAGACTATGGCCATGCAGATAGGTCCCCAGTCATATCAGAAGGAAGTGGTCCAGGTCCCACATCTCTGGGCACCGATTCCAGTGTGTGGCTGTGACATTGATGTCTGTGAGCATGTCCAACACAAAGCAGGGCTGACACGTTAAGATGGTTCAGAGAGCTCTATCTCTGAGAATTGATTCTGAGCAACCTTCCCCAAGTTTATCCAGCACACAGAGTCCAATGAACTCCATGAGTGTGAGGGAGGGCGAGGAGGGTGTGGTATCTACCTTGGCATGAGGCCCATTCAGTACAGTGTATTAAGGGTTCCACTGCCAATCTCTCTCTCCGTTGTCACTCCTTTTCCCCCAGATTTATTGAGATATTATTGACATATACCAGCAATTTTCAACCAGTATTCCCACCACATTTTAAAAACATGCAATACCTGACTATTTAGTCAGGGGCACTGACCTCTTTTCCCTTAGATTTTCAAATTAAAAAATGACAACAGCCAACACAACAGTAGCTATCCGCTGTGAATGAGTCATCATTTTACCTAATTTTTATCAGGTCCGCAAAAAATATATTTTTTGTGTCGCAGAATGAAAAAGGTTGAAAATCGCTGACATATATAAGAGTGGAGTGACGTGTAAAATGTGATGATTTGATACATATATATTGCACAGAATAATTACCACAAATAAGGTTAGTTAATACCTCCATGCCTTCACTTAAGTAAGATTATTGTATGTATGGATGGATACCATTTAAGCTCTTAACAACTTTCAAGTGTGTAATACAGTATCATTATGTATAGTCACTATGCTCTATATTAGATTCGAGAACTTAGTCATCTTATAGTTGGAAGTTTGTATCCTTGACCAACATCTCCCCATTTCCCTACTTCCTAGACCCTGGAAACCACTAATCTACTCTATTTTTGAGTTCCTATAGCCACTCTTAACCCATATAAGCCTCTGGAGTTTGAATGTCAACTGGAGTTTGCATACTAAGAATGCCAACGTATGCTTTGGGTGACTGTTCACCAGTCACATAAAAACATAACTAAAATATTCATCAATATGGCCAGATCACCTACTCCTCCCAGTGATGAGTTGAAGGGTCACGTTCACAGTGGCATGGGTAGAAAAATAAGAAAAACTCTAAATGCAGAACTGATTCCCATATGTAAGTCATATATGTAGATTATAAATGGTTATTAGAAAACAGAAAAAAAAAGTTCCAGGAAGTAACTCTGATAGAAAAATAAATTAGAGAGAGAACCAATGTGTGTAACCATTTCAGTGTCACTTGATAATTGATGCTGAAGTTATCAGAGTACTCATTACTCATTTCCCTGAAGAAAAAGAAAGAGTGTGTGTGTGTGTGTGTGTGTGTAATCATTTGTGAAACATTTTTAAAGTACATAGGCTGATGTTAGGTATTTTGAACATTTATTTGCTTCCTCAAATCATTGGATTAAATATTCTAAATTATGGTTTCTTTCTAAAATATAATAGTGTGGATCAAGCTTAGTGAAATCATAAGTATTTGTGTGTGTAGGTAAAAATACATATGTATATATAGAGAGAGTATACATACACACACACACACACTAGTTAGCAATTATACCTTTACCATTTTTAACATGGAAAGAAAGAACTGAATTTTTAACAGCATTGTCCAAATAAGCCTAAGATGTTCCTTAAAAGCTGGTAAGAAATGAAGCATACTTGCTTCCTGTCTCTTCTAAACACTCATGAAACCTCAGCTACTCAAGCTGTTTCCCACTCTCTGAGGAGGTGCCAAGCCTGTCTGAATACATCTCATCTAAATTCGCTTCATCCTAATCACAGTCAGGGCACGGCAATAATGGCTGATTACTACCACCTTTTCTCTGCTCCCACCACCTCCAGCCACCCCACTGCTTCCTCTTCCTAGCTGCCTCTCTATTTTTAAACTGGATATTGGGGAGGAAGCTGATGGGCTGGCCGTTCTCCTGGTAGGAAGAGATGGTCATTTCTGCTCAGCCCCGCTGCTGGCTGCTGGGAGCTCCTCAGAATGCAGATGAGAGGGATGGACAGCACTCTGCGCTGCGCCTCCCTGACCCCTGACCCGGGCTGATAAGGTCCTCCACACACTGCCCACAGGAACTCATTAATATTCTGTTAGTAGAGGAGATCTGATGCTTGGTGATGTTCCTTTTGTTGAAAAGATAATGCTTTTTGTTCTTTTTCCGGAAGCAGGCAAGCGGGGCTGCATTAGGGACAGAAAAAGGAAAAGGTCTTTGAGACAATCAGTAGAAGTGGATCTTTCCCACCTGAACAAACACGTAATCATCCTGCACAATCAAGGAGTCCGGGTCAATGTAGCCCGGGAAAGGTCTATTTCTGTTGGCCTCGGTGCAGTTCTGCATGCGGCAAGTCAGGTATTGCGAATCTGGAAAAAAAACAGGGGAGGGTTTTAAACAGAGAATTAGAGTCTGAGTGTATATTTTCTATTTCCCTTGCTTCCTCCAAGTATTTAAATAAACCTCACGTTCTCTGTTAACCACATTATTGTTGTCATAATCATTGTTATCATCGCTGTCATTACGATTTTACTCACTTGCTATCAACCCACTACGCTGTCTCCCAGCGCCTATGCCATCCTAAACACTAAGTTCTCCTTAATTCATTTCTTTCCCGTTTAAACCAAATGAAAGTATTTTCAAAAACTGGCAATAATACTTGAGCCTTCTTTTTATTTTACTTATTTTAGAGAGAAGAAGGGAGAGGATGAGAGAGATAGAAACATCAATGAAAGAAAAAGAATCATTGATTGGCTGCCTCCTACAAGCTCCCTACAATAAGGGATCAAAGCCCACAAACCCAGCATGTGCCTCGACCAGAATCAAATGGCAAACTTCCAGTTCAAGGGTCAATGCTCAACCGCTGAACAACACTGGCCGAGCAATACTTGTGCTTTCGTAGTATATTTTCTCGCTAGGCTTCACTGCCACACTTTGACCTTTGATTAACAAACAGGGAAATGCACACCTATATATGCAATCATCCATCATCTCACGCTAGAAGTGCTGCTGTCATAAATAAGAAGGCTCTATGTCAAGATAAAGGTTTTCCTTCTACTACTAATTGGAAGTGAAACAGAATACAGAAGGGATTCCTGAGTCAAAAACTTTGTTCTCATCTTGTAGATGAATTAATTAAGAGCTCGACTTCCATCTAAGTCGCTAAGCTAGATGATAAACATATAATAACTCATAATTTTGACCTTTGTTGGACATATATTGTATCAGGGAGGCTGTCCTTGTTTTCAGCCACAACTATTCTGTTTTCTCTACTATTCAGATGTCACTTGGTTATTTAAAACTCCTTTGGCCTCCTTGACTTTAGAATAAATTCAAACCCTCCACTGTCTACCAACACAACCTCCCCTCATGCTAATCCCTTCTCCCCACTGTGATTCTTCTAATCTGTCCTACTTTATGTTCAGAAAGTGGGCCAAACTTCCTACCACTTTATTTTCATTTGTATTTCCTCTACTTAAAATGTTCCTCCTGCCTTGACCTGTGTTTGCAGTGGTTAGAGTGTTGGCCTGCGCACCATAGGTCTCGGGTTTGATTTCAGGTCAAAGGCACATACCTGGGTTGCAATACATTACTGGCACATAGTAGGCAATAAATATTCATTGAAACATACCTCTTTATTGGAATGTATCTTTTTGAATGAAAGAGAAAGTCATTTTACTTTGTTGATGCTTAATGAATTTGATTTTAACACATCAGTGATGTATGCAAAAATCCTTTCTTTCAAATAAAAGAAATCAAAATATATTTATTTACATGAAATGGGGGTAGCAATACCATATACAGTTGGATATAAGGGTTCACTAATTTCCTTTAATTAAAGTTCCAGGACGTTTACTGAAGGAACCTGGGTATTCCTCAATTCCGCCAGGAGAGTCACTAGGGACGGCCAGCACATGTGCTCCATCTGAACAGTGACTGATGGAGGAAAGCTTTACCCTCAACCTTCCTCCATCTGGCTGCCACATGCATACATGATAAATGGGGATAGCTCTCAAGTCCTTTAATCCATCTAGTTCTGCTGAAATCACTTCCAATGATAAACTAAAGAAAAGCCTTCTACTGATCCTTTCCTATCCTCTTTTACAGACATTATAATAGTTCCATTTTAGGGCATAACTCAAGGTCTTTGTCCTTGAAGACAATTTCTGGGACTTAACCCTTCCAAGAACAATCCTCCCCACAGCATACAAAAATCTCTACCTCACAACTTCACACTCCACCAGACCCTTTTACAATTTTTAGTTGACTTCTGTTTTTCAAAGGTAGCTTGGGGTCATAGAAACAATGGAAATTGGTGACTATGAGATTTGGGCTTAAGTTCTGTCTGGTGTGGTCACTTATTAGCTGCATAGTTCAAAGGAAATCATAGTCTTCTTGAATCTTGCTACCTTCATTCATAATGGAGATGCCAATGTCAACTATCTTGTAGTGTGGCTGTAAGAATTAACTGAAATAAATAAAACATATGCTAAATGTTTTGAAACTCAAACTTTTACAAAGGCCAGTTGTTATTAATATTGATAAAATCCCTGCTTTCTCTTTTGCTTTCACAAATATTATATCAGTCTTCGGCACATAGTAGGTCCTTTAAAAGACTGGTTGAACTGGATTTGAGTACTTTAGCTGTATCTCTACATCAGGTACTGTTGGTGTCCAATACCTATTCCTCCCTGTTTCTTTGCTGGAAAAGCCAAAATGGATTTGTTGGCTCATCCTTTCTTCACATGATTCAGAAGTTCCCATAATTCTCTTGGGTCTATTCCCATTCAAGATCTACCTACTTTCTCACCACTGGTTGAAAGGGACATTTAAATCCAGATCTAGTAAACAAAAAGTGAGAGAGTTCTTTTAAGGAGCTGCTATTAAAATCTTGCTTCTAAAGAGTATATAAGGTGTTACAGAAATGCTTAATATAGTTTACATTATAAACAGAGGTTACTAATTACTAATGTTTTATCACTGTTCATTTTTTAGTTTTAAAAAATAGACCATGGTTGTATAAGATGTTAACATTGGGAGAAGCTGGGTAAAGCTGTACTGTCTTGGGAACTTTTCTGTTTATTTAAATTTATTCCAAAATAAAAGTTTCATAAAAGTAGGTTACCAAAATATGCGCATATGGACCCGATTTTGTGCCAGGTGTATATATAGATATCTATAGATGTATGTTTGCACAGGAAAAATGAATAAAAGATGTATATGAAATGTCAACAATAGTATAGAGTGATAGCAAGGTGAGAGAGGCAGACAACCTGCAAACAAGTCTCTGGTCAGCACCCCTCACCTGGGTCTGGTAGGAGGTCATGGGGGGCTTGCTGCAATGAGCCCATCCTGGGGCTGACTGTAAAAAATGTACAACTGGGTGATGCAACAAAAGCCCCAGGAAGAGGTCTGGAGAGCATTTCTTGCTCAGAGTGAAATTTCAAGCCCAAGGGCAAGGCTCAGTGTCGCACTGCCTGCCCTTGGCCAAGTGCTCTGGTTCCTTCCCTTTCCCCTCCTAAGGGCAACAGAAAGAAGCTGGCTGCGCTTCCTAACCAGGGACCAATCGCTCTCACTCCCCTCCCCTCGGGCTGGCGGTGATAGCATTAAGTATGATGAACTCTTTTCATATTCAATTCCAGGGAGTGCATGATGTGATTCCATAGGAAGTATCGTGTAATTTGGCATTAATTAACGTCAATTAATGTATGCAACTGCTCGACTTTAGAATTAATTTCATTACTTTCCCCACACAGATGTTTTCCTTGCCGTAGGTAATTAGGACACAGCGCGGCTCTTTTCAAGCATCCTCGCTCTGCAACAGCTGCTGTTTGGAATAATGGAATCCCCATCCTCCCAAATGCGTGAGGATCTAAAGGAAGCTGCCTTTGACAGGCCAGGCTTGGAGCAGAGGAGCGGGGGTTTAGCTGCAACCTCAGAGCCTGCTTGCTTGGTAAACCCAAGCAAACACTTGGCCTCTTTAAACTCTGATCTGTGAAGTGGGGATGAAGAAGAGCCATCATGCCAGGGGCTGTGACACTTGTAATAAGTATGTTCGGTCCAATGCATGGCTGGACTATGCTTAAACAGGTGCCTGTAGTTACTGAACTCCTCCCTCTTCCATTACTAGGACTGCTCACTGTGTCTCAAGGGAACCAACTGTAAAGTATAGTACAGGCATTTCTACCGGAGTCAATGTTTGGTTTAGGTTAAAGTTTTCTTAAGTAACTTTTCAAAAAGCCATAAAAAATATCCTCCTTGAATAATGAATAGGTAGCAACTATGCTGGGCAGGCAGTTGAAGGTGGTGGCCAGGGCAGAACTGGACGTGACCTTGGTGCCCAGCGCATGGGCCAGCCTGCCTGCACCCTGTTGTCCTGTGTGCCCTCCCTCCTGCTGCAGTGACATTCTAGATCCCACCTCCATCTCCAACAAACTGTGACTCTGCGGTCACTGACTAAGCGATATAATGAAGGTTATTAGAGTTTTAGAACTAAAAAAGGATGTCAAAAAAAGACTATTACTTTACCCCCTGACAGGTCTTTATTATGCTTTATCCCTTAAAACCTGTTTCCTTCCATTCCTGCCCAGAAAAAACTCCCTGATGCTGGCAAGTCTGTGACTTCAGGCCTTCTGCTATGTCTAAACAGCGTGTCCATTCCAGGCTGAGACCCTATGCTCATTCACAGAGTTCCCCCGGTTTGACTTATCTTTTCTGGTCCTGTTGCCCTGTCCATATCCTTCCTGGGTCTTCTTCTGCGGAGTTTCTCCTGAAGCTCAGGCAGACCTCTCCCTTCCCAGCCTGCCTCCACTCATGGCATCTGCAGTAGCATCAACCTCTGGAATAACCAAAGAGCCTCTACTCTGGGTCAGGAACTATTCTAAACAGAGCACTTGCTTTTTCTTTTGTAACTTCACCAAAAATTGCACTCCAGACGTAGGGATGAGATTTGTAGAAGCCCATATGCTAGTAAATGACAGGGCAGAAACTATATCTCACAGATCTCCTCGACTCTATCCATTGATTCTCTCAGTCAACAAATCTTTAGTTAGCACCAAGTCTTTCCATATGCTTTAATACTGTAAAAGGTTAATTTCAAACAAAACCATCAACTGTGTAGGCAAGCATGAGTACTGTGAAGCTCCCTCCACAACCCCATTAATTTTTAACTTTAAGGAGAACATACCTCTGCTGATAAATCTTCTTTTTGTTCGTTCTATGGTTCTATTATTTGTTTTAGAACATTCTTATTAAAATGTTCCCACCCAACACACACAGGTGTGCATGCATGTGGGCACACGTATCGACATGCTTGTGCTCATTCCCATCAAGGCTCTAGAGCCCTCTCTGGCATGTGCCTGTTAGAAAC